CGGGGCGCGGCGCGGCCGGGGGCGTGAAGAGCGAAGAGCCGCCGCGCTCTCTCAAGTGGCTGGGCTGGGGCAGGGGTGCTCTCAAGGGTCGCAAGAAACTATTCGGGAACACGTCGACGACTGAACCTGTCATGTTTGTTAAGATAGCGGCAACACTTTGTGGTAGACAGCGCACAGCGCCACAGCCCTCCCCACAGAATATATACTATAGGCAGACTGGGCTTCGCTGGGCTGGAGCTGAGCTGGCTAACGGGGAGCTAGAACTTGAACGGAAAACAAAAACTGGAACAAGGACCGGAGGACGGGAACAGGAAACGAGGGAACTAGAACGTGAACGGAAAACTGAAAATTTGAACTGGGAACTGAAACTTGAACAGGGAACGGGGAACTGGAACTGGAAGAACGGGAATCTTTACCTTGGGGTAGAGACAGCCACAAGGGACTGTCTAAAAAACTGGCCTGCCGGCCGGTAACGAGACAGTCCAGCTCCAAAATCAAATTCAAAATATACAGGTGCTAAGGTTTGTATCTTTAAATTCAATTAGGCATTAATCAATTAGGCATTAAAATGAGACTGAAAATCTGCTTATCAAAACTGGAAACTTTTACCTTCGGGTAGAGACAGACCACAAGGGACTGTCTAAAAAGATATCTCGGAATAAACTTTAAATTAATTAACGTTAGTTGGAGTAACAAAATCTAAAAATAACGTTGTATCTTATAACTTTTTGTAAAAGTTTTTTAAATAGCGTTATCTCTCATAACATTCTCTGATACCTAAATAACGTCAATTTTGACTCCAACCAAACGCGTGCACCTCTGCACGTCAACGTTCAATGGATATAGGAATCTGGAGGTTTTAGTGCCACATGTATGTTGCCGGTGTCAGGAACAGTTTAGTCCCGAGATCAAAAGTGATTCACACCAGGCTCGATCCGAGAGGCTGAAGCCAAACTCAGGCCCGGCTGGTGGAACATCGTCGGCGCATATCAGAGCTTTACCACTCATCAGTCTCGCGCGTCACCTAGGTTGACGATTGATGTACCAGGCCGAACCCCGGTTAAGTATCAAGTCGAGAGATATGGCTGAATTAGCTCGAGCTGGCCACCGCGAGAGTGCGTGCCACCGGCGTCGAAGAGGCACGACGAAGGCACGGGCACGCACTCTCGCGAGGGCCGGCTCCAGCTAACCCTGCCATATCTCTCGAGTTGGTATGCAACCGCGACTGGGTAAACCCAACGTCACAGCAGCACATCTGCGCGAGCGATGAACGGCCCAGCCAGTAAACGAGTGATTCTCAGAATACGGGCCGTTTAGATTCCGCGGCCCTTCACAACTATGTGATATGGTTTGAAAAGGTTTTTATACCATCTAGATACTCGAAA